CTGCTGGCAGCCTTGGCACTCCAGCTCCCCTTATTGTGTGCAAGGTGCCAGGCGAAGGACATCAGGTGCCCAGCATCTGCGGCTCCCCTTCAGCAGATGGAGCAGCTTGAGGCTCGGGAGGCTTCAGAGCCTTGCTGGGGCCTCCCACCCAGCCTGCCAGGGAGCAGCAGAGCCGGCATCTGACCACCAAGTGTCCCACTGCACAGAGGTGTCACTAAACATGGTGTCCTCCCACCACCTCCCTGCAGTCTACAGCCCCCTAGAGAAAGAGGTATTTGGGTGGAGGTGGGGATCGAAGGCTGGGGCGCTGGACCTCTGAGCACATCCCAGCCCCTTTTTATTTATTTTGGTGCTGGGGATTGAAGCCAGGAGCTTAACCACTGGGCCACACCCCCAGCCCTTTTTTGGGTTTTATTTAGAGACAGGGTTTCTCTGAGTTGCTTAGGGCCTCTCCAAGCTGCTGGCTTTGAACTCCCAATCCTCCTGCCTCGGCCTCCCTAGTCGCTGGGATTACAGGCATGGGCCACTCCGCCCGGCTCTTATTTTTTTTATTTTGAAACGACGTCTCCTAAGTTGCAGAGGCTGGCTTTGAACTTGTGATGCTCCCTACAGGACTCTTTGTGGCTCTGTGGTTCCCCCATTCACATGCTGAAGCAGGGCTTTCTAGAGGGGCTGGGAAAGCTAAAGCCCAAGAAATGGTCAGTGACTTGTCCAAGACTACAGTGTAAGTCCAGGGTAGTGTGGAGACTGAGACCCAAAGCCAGTCGAGGACACTCTGGTGACTTCCTTTTGCCCCCATCCCCATCTGTTTGTTACAGGGAGAGAGGGGCTGGGCTGCCGGGCGGGGCGGTTCCAGGTTCCAAGGTATTCAAAGTGTCACAGCCTCGTGGCGGAGCATCTGTGGGGCGGGGGCTGGCACATCGAGATTTGTGGATCAATAAACATCCCTTCCCGCTTCCTCCCTCTTCATTTATTCATGAACTCTGAACTCCTGGGCTCCCAGAAGCTGCCTGGAAGAAAGCAATTAGCGCATAATTAGAACCACTCCTATTATCAGCTCTCAGTGGGAGGGGCCGGGGCGGCCCTGGGACTTCCCTGTGGTCCCAGATCTTGCTGCTGCCACTCAGCTCCTGCTCACCCACAGAGACCCTGACACCCAGGGTCCTGGACCGGGGAAGGACCTCTCCCTGGAGGCAGGAGGGCTGCCTGAGTTAGAGGAGACCTCCAGCCCCTCCGGGCCGAGATCCTTGGGTGCCCCCTGCCAGAAACTGGCCAGGGCATGGCAGGAAAACCGAAAAGCACGTGGCTTCTGCTTTCCAGCAAGCATCCGTCTAGCAGACCGGAGTGTAAGAAGACCGCAAGGAGCACAGGAGATATAAATTACCTGGAGGAAGCGATTTCCCAGGCAGGCCTCCATCCATCCATTGCCCGATGATTAATGGTAAAAGCAGCAGCACCCGCAGTCAGTATTTATGGGGCATGTCTGACCCCAAAGCTGCTCTTCTTCCCCACAGGGTGTCCCACCAGCAAGGAGAAGCCACCAGGAGTGGACATTGCCTCCTGCCCTAGAGACAGGGCAGGGCTCAGGGGGGCACCAGGCCTCTGCCTCCCCCTGAGGGCGCGTCTCCCGGCCTGATCCTGGGGTAACCCCAGGAAGCAGACCTGGTTGTTCAGACACTGTCTCTGGTGTACAGATGAGGAACCTGAGGCTCAGGAGCGGGTGAGGCCTGCCCAAGGGAACATTGTCAGCACAGGACTCTGACCCACCCATTTGAACTCCAGGCCCCTTGAACCTGGCAATCTCCTGGGTTTGGGGGTGTGGTGGTCTCTTGCCTTCCTCTCTCCTAAGGGTCCAGTTGGGCCCAAGTTGCCCTGGGCTTTCTTCCTGAATGTCTTAAAAAGCAGCGAGAGGGCCCTTCTGCATGGGAGGGGACGACTGTCCTGTTCCTCCTCCTCTGCGGATCTGGGCCACCGCCCCCACATGAGTCGCTGCCCCGGCACGGCAGTAGTTGGCAAGAGAAGGCGAAGGCTGGCTGAGGAGGGGCCCTGGCCTCTGGAGGGGAGGTCACACAGCTGCTGAAGCCCAGGCTGTAACCCAGGAGACAACCCAGCCCTTAGGCTGTGACCAGGAGGATAGAGCAAACTAAGGAGGAGAGGAGGGGAGGAAATTGCCACCTGGGGCCCAGACGCACAGAGGAGGGGGCAGTGGGCTAGATGGGGGCACTGAGGGCTGTGGGGTCAGTAGATTCCTCCTGGGATGGGGGGGTTTCTGGGAGCAACCAGCCTCCTTCCTCCCTTTCCCTGTCCCACCTGAGGGGAGGTTGCCATGACAACCAACTCCCCATCCTTGACCTCTCCATAGGAGGCGGCCCCTCTCCTCCAAGTGACAGGTGGTCACCCTGACAACAGGCCCTGTGCTCAGCAGGGCTCTGTGGCTTCCCTGGGGACCCTGCTTTCACCTGGGCAGCTACCTTGTTCTGCAGCACACAGAGCCTCTGTCCAGCTGGAGGTGAGGGTCTGTGGGGGCCCCCCTTCCAATGGGCGCCTTTCACCTGCCCCTCTCCAGGCTGCCCTGGATGGATCCTCACCAGATGGCCTGAAAGTGGGGTGCTGACCTGCTTCCCTCAGTTGAGAACCCAACGTGGCTCCTAATCGCCTTCCTCAAGAAACCTGGAGCCGCAGTTCCCCAGCTTCAGCATCTTCACACTCACACGGAGGCTTGTTAAATCCAGAGTTCTCTGCACACCTCCAGAATTTCACATTTAGTAGGTCTGGGGCGGGACCCTAAAATTTGCGTTTTTAACAAGTTTCCTGGGAGTGCTGCTGCTGCTGGGCAGGGACCACACATTGAGAATCCCTGGTCTAGACAGTGGGACACTGAAAGTCTGCCCGGGCCTGCCCACCCGTCCTGACTCACCATGGCCATCTCTGAACTCGGCCACCGTGAGCTAAGCACCCAGGTCTTCATGCACCTTGCGCCTTTGTGCTTGCACGACCTGCCTCTGGAAGTTCTCTCCGCCTTTGATTTTTCTGTACTGGGGATTGAACTCAGGGCCACTAGACCTCTGAGCCATATCCCCAGCCCTGTTTTGTCTTTTATTTAGAGACAGGGTCTCCCTGAGTGGCTTAGTGCTTCACTTTGGTGAGGCCAGCTTTGAACTTTTGATCCTCCTGCCTCAGCCTCCCGAGTCACTGGCTAAGTTCTCTCCTTTTTATCTCTAGGGTAGGTCGTCCATTATTTCCTCCTGCAGCATCTCGCCCCCACCACCTTCGTCCACCCCGCAGGTGTGCTGTGGTGCTTCTCTTCCTAGTTCCGCACTGAACCCCTCTTCCTAAAGCTCATGGAGGCCTAGAGCCTGTCCCTGAGGGTGGCCCCCAGAGGTGCGTGTGAAGGTGGGATGCTCAGAGTGCAGATGGGCGGGGGGAGGGGCGTGGGAGTGACTCGACCTCACAGTCCTCTCAGCCCGTCAGACATTCGCTGGGGGCTCACTCTGCCAGGCATAATGCTGGGTGCTGGGGATTCAGTGGTGTGGGAGGCAGAGTCCCTGCCCGTGAGGACTCAAGCACTGTCAATGACCATTTGGGGACATGGTGAGGGCTGTGCTGGAAGACAGTAAGAGACCCAGGTGCTTTTGTACTAGAGATCAACCCCAGGAACCTCAATCACTGAGCTACGCCCCTGGCCCTTTTTATATTGATTTTGAGGCAGGGTTTTGCTAAGTTGCTGAGGCTGGTCCCAAACTTATGATCCTCCTGCCTCAGCCTCCTGAGTCACTAGGATGATAGGCTGCGCCGCCTTTAGCAGTGAGAGTGAAGGTGAAGGTCCCCGCGTGTCAGGCACCAGCCTCTCCTCACTACCACGAAGGATACCTTCCCTGTTTTATAGAGGAACAAACAGGACCCAAGAGAGGAATTCACAAAGCCACCTGTCACAGCCTGCATGTGGCAAAGCTGGGACTGGAACCTGGATTTCCTGGTATTAAGTCCCATACTCTCTATCATCCTGGGATGTCCCTAGAGTCCAGGCACCTTGTGGCCTGAGACTCTCCTTTGCAAACATGTGTCTAATGAGTACTTAGCAGTTTGCTTACAACAATCGCCAACGGGGACCTGAGCAGTATCGGAGTGTTAGGGGCCCCCCTGCCCTCCTCTAGCCACATCTTTTACTAGGGGGCAAGAGGCCCACAGGGTCAGGGGGACACGCCTGCCAGAAGCCTGTGCACCCTCCCACCCTAGACCCAGTGCAGATACTCAGGACCCCAGAGACTCCTGTCCTGCCTCCAGGACTGCTGGGCTTCTCCAGGGGCTGGGCCATGCTGCGGGTATGGCACACCTGGCTCAAGGGATCGAGAAACTGGCTGTTTGTGGAGCAGGGCAGATGTGACTGATGCTGACAGGTGTGTCCAGACCTGGGTGTGAGGCCCCACATACTGACTTTCCCAGATGCCGCTGTCTTCTGAGTCCCAACTCCACGCCGTCAGAGAAACCAGTCCGCACAGCCTGGCCTTCCGGGACGTCGGGCTGCTCAGAGGACAGGGCTATTTTATTTAAGAGGGTGTTATCTTGGTTTGTAACTCTTGCATAGTTAGACAGTTGACGTGGAGGCCTCTGCCGGTGCTCTTGTCCTGCGCCTGCAGGTCCCCAGTGTGAAGTGAAGAGCCTGGACTTGGAGGCAGGACGTGGGCAGAGGCTCCCCTAGGTGCTTCAGCAGCCTCCGGCCCTGCCAGCTGCTCAGCTTGTCACTGCCTGACTGTGGTCAGCAGCCCCATGGGCCATCAGAGTGGACGGCCATCCCCAAGCTGCCACTCGCTGTCATCCCTAAGACAGGCCACCAGGGACACTGGGATCCTTGGCTGAAATACAAGGCTGTTGCTGCAGCCTGGGAATGACACTGTGGTTGTCAGCTGTGACAGGTGGGACTTGTTGGTGGCTGGGCTCTGCAGGACAGGAAGTGGGACACAGTTTATCAGGGCCGCTTTGGGCAGCTGCTTAATCAGCCTTCACCCCCCCCCCCAATGCCACAGGAGTGGTGGGGTCTCCCCATCTTGCAGAGGAGGAAGAGGGAGTGCGGGAGCCCCGCTTCTGCTCCCTGCAAGTGTGAACACAGGCAGCTTAGCCTCTCGGCCCCATTTCCTCATCCGGAAGTGGAGGTGGTGACTGTGCGTGCCTCTCAGGGCTGCCGGGTAAGCGTGCTCAGTGGAGGACACAGGAAGAGCACTCAGCACAGCACCTGGCACTTAGGTAAGGATTAGGAAATGGTAGCTGCTGTCGTGGCTCCTAGGACCAGGCCCCAGCCCCAGGGCGGCAGGCTCTCTGACACCGCCAGCCACCACTGCCTGCTGAATGGGGTCCTCTGGGCAGGAATCCTGGAATGAGGGGAGGGTCCCGAGAGCAGCCCTCCAACCCGTTTTGCACCCAGAGGCCCGGGGACTGACGCGGTGAGCCCTGGGGTCCAGTCCCTGCCTCCTTTCTTCGCTGCTCCAGGAGAGAGCAGGGAGCCTGGCATCGGGGCCTTTCAGGGACTGTTCTAGGGAGGGGTTTGATGCCACTTGGAGGATCAGGATGGTGTGTGGCTCCAGACAAAAATACCCTGAGCAAAAATAAGCTCCCCCAGGTGGGTGGGCGCTGTTGGCTCCTCCCCTGCGCTCAGCTCTGGGCAGCCATGGGCCAGAGTCAGTGGTGGAGTCTTCCACAGGGTCTCAGGTGACATGTGCTCCCTGGGGAGGAGGATCAAATCACCCTGTGACCTCAGAAAGGGTCTCTTCTGGAGAAAGGGTTGACCCCTTTCCTGGCAGGGTAGTGAGTCTGGGGCATCTTGAGCCCCAGGACTGGGGCTCAGTGGAGAAGCCCTTGCCTGGCACGCCCAAGGCCCTGAGTTGCGTCCCGGAATCCCCCGTAAAATTCCTTATCTCCCCCGTAAAATTCCCTGTCGGCAGGACAAGTTACCCCGCGCGCTAACGTTGCCCGGCGTCTCACCTGGGGAATTAAATGAGTGGGACGTCCCTGGGCATTAGACAGATGCTTGGCGTATAATAAGTGCTAGCTGTCACTGCCTCTTCCTGTCGTTCTGGGATGAGATGAAATGCCACCTGTAAGGAGCACTGGCCGGCGCGGCCAAGGGTAGATCCTGAGAACCCTTCCCCCTCCCCCGGCCCCACTTAGCCAGCTCTTCCTCCAACAGGTTCTGCGCCCCTGGCCCAAGGCCAGGGCATGATTGCAACAGGCCCTTCTACCCGCCTGCTCCTGGCCCTCCCCGTTAATCTTCCCTGCCTGCTGCGGGTCGGGTGGGGAGAGGAGGCAGGGGGAGTCTGCCCTGGGGCTGGGGACTGCAGGTGGCTCTGGGGTCCAACAGCCTGGTTGGCGGCCCTCTGCTTCCCTGAGGCCTTGGGTTGAGACTCTGCTCCCTGTATGGATGGGGCCGTGACCTATCCCTCATTTGTGGCTGTGAGTGCCAAACGAGCGGGTGCGTGCCAAGTGCTTGGCCCAGAGCTGGCACAAAATGCTAGCCCTGGTCCTTAATGCTCGTGCTCAAGTTCAGAGCTGCGCATTGTGAAGGGAAACCTTCAAGCCCAGTCCCTGGGGTGTCCCTCCAGAGATGCCCTCTGCAGTCCCTCCCCCCACAGTCCTTCCTACCACCCTAATCTCACAGTCCCCAAATGACCTCTCCCAGGGCTCTAGAGGGCCAGACAGGGACAGAGCACAACATCCCCAAAAGGGATGTTACCAGAGGGAAAGCAGGGGCGGGACCCTTCCTCCTTTCGTTGATGGCTCCTGCCCTGTGAGGTCAGCACACCTCCACCTCCCTGAGCCTCGGTGTCCCCATCAGTCCCAGGGGCCAGTAATCCCATGTCCCAGGCTGCTGAGAAGCACAATCTGAGCCTTAAAAGACTGTCCAGATGTGGGTGGCTGCTGCGATTCTCCACTGGAAGGAGAAGCAGGGAACCTGGGATCCCAGCCAAGCAAGGCTGGGACAGTAAATGACAGGGGATCCCCAGGCCCCTGCTGGGGGCGGGGCTTCTCTGCACCTTTGCCCACTGGCTCCTGACACCCACACTGTTGCCAGGCAGACTTCCCCACCTGGCTCCTCGGGAGGAGGAGGAGGAGGCGGAGGAGGCAGAAGTGGCTGCCGTTGCCATGGCAGTGAAGAGGTTTCCATCCGTGCATCCTTCCCGGGAGCATCCGGACAGGGGGGGCTGCAACAGGAATTAGGGACGTGGATGTGTCCCCCCTGCATAGGTCGCAGGAGGAGTGGCCTCCACCAGGAGGAATGAACTCCTGATACCTCTAGGGGGATTGCAGAGGGCTTGGTGCCCTCCCCACCCCAGGCTGCTTTTGAGCTCAGCCTCCCCCACTTCCAAGCAGGCCATGGGCGCAGTCAGTCGCCCTTCCTGCCCTTCCCTGGGTGCTTCTCCTGTGCACCCACTACCATGCCCACATGGATCTCTCCAGCCCCTTCTACCTGCCCAGCTTCCTCCACCTCTCCACCAGTTCTTTGCCCCTGTTCTTCCTTCT